TTGTCACCCACTATAAAGGTTTTATATAATAATCAAATAACTAGATTTTCACCCGCGCTTGAAAGCGCGGAAATTTTTTATGATTAAAAATTTATATATTTGGGTTTTGTCTTAATTTAAAGAATGTTTTGGTATAAAATCAGTTCACCAAAATTTGTGGTGATGGTTGTTTTTTATTAGTTTTTAGTTTCAGTTTTTATTTTTAGATTTTGTTTTAGATTTTGGTTTTTGGTTTTTAGTTTTTAAGTTTCTACTTTTGATTTTCAGCTTTTGGTTGTGTTTTTAATTTTTAGACCCGTTGAGTTAGTTTGAACTGATATTACCAACAAACAAATCTTAAATAATCGAACATCTAATTTAAAACTGAAAAGACGATAAAAAAATTTGCAATAGTTTATTTTGTAAATAAACAAAAGAAAAAAAAATATAACTTGTGTTTTCATCTTTTGGTTTTTAGATTTGAGTTTTGGTTTTGCTTTATATTTTTTTAAATCAGTAAATTATTTAAGAAAAATAAAACAATAAATTATTTAAATGTTACCATTGAAATTTATCAAAATAAAGTGATTGTTATTTAAAATAAAAAAATATATTAACATGTTTTAAGTACATGATTTAAATAAATTATTAATAATAGACAATTTTGTTTTCTTATAAATATTAAATACCTTTTGGGTCTAAAATAATAATATATTTTTTGATCTATTAAGTTGGAAAATTTATTTAATGTTTTGGAGTTTTTTCTTAATACTAAGCCCAAAAACCAAACTATATAATTTGTTCTAAAAACAAAAGTAAGCCCAAGACTATATCCCATAAATAAGGGTTGACTGCATATTCCCCCCCCCCCCCTAAATATACTAACCCTACTTATTCCCCCCTAAACTATCAAGCTCTTCATAATCCCACCCAATTTTATACTTCCTCTTTAAATATCCCCCTAAACTTTTTAATCCCCCTTTCAAATCAATTTCCAAATCGTGATTAATAAAATTAAAAAAGCGTTTAGAAAACTGATTGCCCGATTAAATAAAACAGATCCGACCCATAATAAAAAAAAATAATCCAATTTAATTAGAAACCTAATTAAAATTATAATTTAATTAGGGCTTTTTCATTTTTCTTCGACAGAAAACGACGACACAGAAAAGATGACTAGAGGGAGAGAGAGATGATGAGAGAGAGAGATGACGAGAGAGAGATGACGAGAGGGAGAGAGAGAGATGACGAGAGAGAGATGATGAGAGGGAGAGAGAGAGATGACGAGAGAGAGAGAGATATGACGAGAGGGAGAGAGAGAGATGATAGGGAACGTAGAGAGAGGGAGAGAGAGAGAGACCGGGGAACAGAGAAGAGAGAGACAAAAACAAAGATGATAGAGAGAAAGAGAGAGACAGGATTGAGAGAAACTAATGCTGAGGAGAGAGAGACATTGAGGAATGATGAAGGGGCTGTGGTTGTTGGGTGTGGAGAATTTTTAAACTTGTTTAACTTGGATTTCGTATTTGTTTATGTCTGGGTTGAGTTTGATTTTTTTTTTTTTTTTACAGAGATGATGATACAGAGGACGAGAAAGACATGCTGTATGGAAAACTAGATAAGATGGATGAATCTGAGGATACTCTTGGTCGATTTGAGTATGAGATAGAGGAATCAGTAGCTGATTTTGAGGATGAGATTCCAACTGAGAGAAACGAGATTCCAGAGAGTTCAGATGACTCTTCTGAGGATGAGATTGATGTGCGTGAGGAGAGAATGAAAAGAAGAAGTGATGATAAATTAGCTTTGGGGAGTGGCTACTACACTTTGTATGAGTTTAAAGAGGTTGTCTTAGAGTATGCTTTGAGCAAGAGAAGAAACATTAAACAAGATAGGTGGGATAAGACAAAAATCTCATATGTGTGTGGCATTGGTGGGAAGTGTAAATGGCGGATTTATTGCTCCTATGATATTGACAGTCAGAAATGGTTGTTGAAGACGAAGTATTGGTACCATAGTTGCACTCCGGATGGTAAATGCAAGCTGTTGAAAAGTCCGGTGATTGCAAGACTGTTTTTGGATAAGCTAAGACAGAAAGCGGATTTGATGCCTGAGGAGATTCAACAGATCATAAAGGAGAAGTGGAAAATAGCCAGTACACGGAATCAGTGTCAAAGAGGCAGACTTTTAGCTCTGAAATGGCTTGAGAAAGAGTATGAGGAGCAATTTGCTCATCTTCGAGGATATGCACATGAGATCATGGAGACAAATCAGGGTTCCACAGCCATTGTAGACACATACAAAAACAAAGCAGGGGAAGATGTTTTCAATGGTTTTTATGTCTGCTTTGGGGTTCTTCGTGACACTTGGAGAGGATATTGTAGGCCAATTATCGGAGTTGATGGTACTTTCTTAAAGAGAGCTGTGAAAGGGGTGTTGCTTACTGCTATTGGACATGATGCCAACAATCAAATTTACCCGATTGCTTGGGCCGTTGTTCAATCTGAGACAACGGATAGTTGGTTATGGTTTATCAAGAATCTAAAACATGACTTAGTTTTGAAAGATGGGAATGGGTTTATCATCATTTCAGATAGATCAAAGGGACTGAAAAGTGCAATGGAGTCAGAGTTACCAAATGCTGAGCATAGAAAGTGTGTGAAACACATTGTGGAGAATGTGAAGAAGAATCATGCCAAGAAAGACTTGCTGAAACCTAGGATATGGGATATTGCTCGGAGCTATACGAAGTCAGAATTTGACTACAATGTCAAGAAGTTACAAGCATACGATTTGGCCTTATACAATGATGTTATGAAGGAGCTGCCGGAAACTTGGTCTCGACCTTTTTACAAGCTTGGAAGCTGCTGTGAAGATGTTGACAACAACGCAACAGAGTCGTTTAACTCCACTATCACAAAAGCTCGAGTGAAATCAATGGTCCCAATGCTTGAGATGATAAGGAGACAAGCAATGTAACGCATCGCCAGAAGATACATCACATCGATGAAGCATGAGGGGGTTTGTTCAAAGTATGTAGCTAAACTGCTTGCAGAGGAGAAGAAGATCGCAGATGAATGTGTGACGACACCTGCAACTCGTGGAGTCTTTGAGGTCTCTGTAGACAATGATAGACATAATGTCAATACAATGAGGCATACATGTTCATGCGGAAAATGGCAAATAAGTGGAGTTCCGTGTGAACACGCTTATGGAGCAATGATTGATAAAGGTTTGAATGTTGATGAATATGTCTCAAAGTTCTTCTCTACTATGATGTGGCAGTATATTTACAGCACCAACCTAGAACCTGTTAGAGGACCACGAGTATGGATGAAGTCGGGTTTAGGATTGATAGTTGCTCCTCATGAGCCTGATCAACCTGGGAGAAAGAAGAAGAAGAAAAAGAAATTCCCTAGAATAAAAGGCAAATTTGAATCACCAAAAAAGAAGAAGAAGAAGAGGGAAGTGGAGAAGCTTGGAAGGGCAGGTCGAACTGTCCATTGTAGTTCATGTGGTGAGGCAGGCCATAACGCAAATGGTTGTAAAGTCCATCCAAAGAAGAAGATGAAGAAGACACACCAAAACATAGAAGAGGTATAATATCTAACTAATTTTTTTTAAAAAAAATTATATATATCCTAATGTTTAGTTTTGTGGCAGGGTTTGGTTATTTTTAATTGACTATGGTTGTTAAAAACCGAAACCACACTGGAAACGTAGTGTTATCGGTTGGTAGTGGATTTTGTTTCCTTCAACCGCACCGATCCGAAACCGATTGATTCCAAACCGAAACCATTCTTCATTATAGAAAATACCGATTAGTACTTGTGCTCTGTGAACCTAGTCCGAACAACCGATTCAACCAAACCGAAATCGAACGGTACACTGAAGTCCCATGCCTAGTTATATAAAGGTTGTGACATGTTTTGTAATAAGTTAACTTTGCTGCAAAAGGACAATATTCTAATCTCCCCTACAACCTCTTAACAAAATTCTAATATGTCCCAGTTATTATACGTAATTTCTTTTTGATTTTTTAAAATACCAAAACATCTATAAAAACATAAAAGAGTTTGAGGAATCTCGTAAATTATAGATCCAACTAGACTTTAGCTGGATTATCCACACCCAAACCCATATAAATCGGGTCCTACACGTAATTAATTCTTGCGAAATTAGATGCAGTAGCTATGAAAAAAAATATTAATAGTTTAGCCAAAATTTCACTCTCTCTTCCCTCTTTCTTCCTATCTCTCTCTACTCTTTCTCTTACAAAACTAATTTTGTTTTTGGCTATTTCAGAAATAACCCCTTAATTCTTTATCGATCCCTTCATCTCTCTCTTCATCTTTTTTTTTCTTTTCTTCTTATTCCATTCCTTTATCTCCTCCCCTCTGTTCTTTATTCTTTTCTGATTTCTTCTGCTTCAGCAGAAGTAAGAGATATTGTGTCTTGCTTCTTCGTTTTCCATGAGATAGAAGAATGACCGAGAAGGACTATGTAAGCACTCAAAGAGCGACGAGAAAGAGGACATGCATTCCAGTCAGAATCGCAGTATGCAGTGACACGCAAATTCGAGTCTGCTCGTAGGAGAACACCTTGACCGGGAGAACCTTTTGAGATATTTAACAATTCGTAAAGCTGCATCCCAATGTTCCTGCAAGGGTTTCTTCATAAATTGAGAGAGTATGTGGACACCGTAGCATAGTTCTAGGCGTGTAAAAGTTAGATAGATAAGTCTCCCAACAAGTCGTCTGTAAGCCTGAGGGTTGTCCATAACTGGTCGGTTGGCTGCTATGACGCTGTCTATATGAGCTTTATTGCGGGAAAATTATTTTTTTCTGGCACCACAAATAATGAAATGTTACGCCTTCATATGGAACTGAAAGGCCCATTCCCCAAAAAGATGCTCCACAAGGTAAGCATTGAAGAAGATTTGATATCCAAAAGCCTTCTCAAATAACCGCTTTTCTTAGAGAAGTAGAAATAAGAACATAACCGCTTCTATTTTTGTACTTATGCTTGTGCTTTTGGTTCAACAAGGATTATTTATTGATCAGCACTTTGATCAGGACTTGAACTTTTACGCTACAGAGGAGAACACTGTTGGTGGGAAGGTAATGATCAAGTCCTTCTGTTTTCTCTGGCACTTTGCAGTTTAACATACCAATTGAGTGTTAGTGTTTTGCTATCTTTTCCTTTTTCAGATGATGAAGAGAACAATTGTAAATGTAAAGCCAAAAGATTTTGGTTCAGTTATTCAATGTTACCCTGGAGAAAATCCCAAGATGCTAGCTTATTTCAGGGATCTCTTAGATAAAATGTTCATCCTTGATCCCGAGAAGAGACTGACTGTGTCACATGCATTAGCTCACCCATTCATCACTGGCAAGTGAAAGAAAGTTTCCGTTCTCTCTTTCTCATATCAGGAATTGCTGTTGTTCTAGATATTTATACATACACATATAAGTTTAAATTTAAGGTTCTAATCTTTGAATTGTCTGCATCTTGTTTCTGTTTCCTGAGAGCTTCTGTTACAATGTGGCATCTTGTAAGACCTGCTAGTGCCGCTTTATTTCTTAGTACTCATGTGTAATCTAATTGCGGACTTTACTCAATGTAGAAGTCTATGTTTGGAAACATTTCATCTGAATAAGGAGAGGGCCATTTCTGAATCATATTTCGTTATATGGAAACTCAGTGACTTGTATTTGTGATAGTGGAGTACTTTATGTCCTTTTATGGTCTTCTTGAGGGTCTGATGTTGTTTCTCTCCAGGACATCTACCATCGCTTAGATATTCTTCTGAAGTCTTTCGATCCTTTAAAGGCACACATGAGAAGGTACAGTGGTTGTTTTTGGGAGTATTGTGAACATTTTTCTATTTGCATTGTGATACACGCTACGGTATTACGTACCAAAGAAAGAAGAAGTAGTTTTCCTTAAAACATTAAGAATGGAGTTTTGGTGTTTTTCCTTTTAAACGTTTAAGTTAATTTCCTATTATAAGTAAGGCTAGGGATTTGTAATAGCCTTATATAAAGACATCTAACTATCAATAAAGATCTATCTTCCAGCATTAACCTTATTCTCAAGAGAGACTAGGGTTAAAGGAAGCTTTACTTACAAGTTCTCTGTTCTTACTTACTAAAGCTACGGCTCCCGTTACCCGAGCTCAGTCACAGTGACAGGCTCATATCAATTTGGTATCAGAGCCGACCGTTTCAATGGGAGACACTGAGGCAGTTTTGAAACAGATAGCAAAGATGATGGAGATGATGCAAGCAATGACTGATAACATGGAAACTCTACAAGAGAGAATGGGGCGTCTCGAATCTGCTAACAAGGATCGTGGTAAGGCGATCAAATTCTCACCCGAAGAACTTTCAGAAGTTGAAATATTAAGTGGAAGTAAAGGGAGCAAGGAGGCGATATCATTCAATACCAGAGCTGGTACGAGTTTTACACCCTCCAAACCTGAGAAAGACCTTCCGGTGAAGAGTTGCGGTTTGACAAACGAAATCACCTATGGATTTTCCGGGGGACCATGGCCAAACTGAGCTGTAGGAAGAGAACGAGGCCACAGGAGAACCGATGGAGGAGGGGATTGGAATGTCAGACCAATTGGAGCCGCACCACACAACTCTCATCCAAATTGTGGAGATTTTCGATACTCTGAAGGGTTGAGGGATGGAGGAAATTACGAGAATCGTGAGGACAGAAACAACAACTTCGAAAGAAGGTGTGTTAAGGCTGCCAAAATAGAGTTTCCACCGTTTGATGGAACAGCCGATGCTATGGAGTGGTTACAAAAGTGTGATGACTTCTTTGCAGACCAAAGAGTATTCAGTGATGATGCGAAAGTTAGACAAGCCACTTTTGTGTTAACGGGACAAGCGTACCACTGGAATATCAACTTGCGATGACTGGTAACACATAGGCTTTGATGGGATGAGTTCAAAAGGATCTGCAAAAGTCGATTTGGAAAGGCAGATGCGGTAAACCCAGTGGGGGAATTGTCAAATCTGAGACACAAGACAAACTGTGGATGAGTACTGCAGTCAGTTTGAAGAGTGTCTAAGTCGACAAACAAGACTCTCGGGTGATCAACAACTATGGCAATTATGTGCCGGGCTAACGGATAATCTACGTAAAGAAGTTGAATATCTGCGTCCTGAAACGATTTTCGAAGCCATAGAGTATGCTAGAGATAACGAGTACAAAATTGACAGTGATAAACGCACCAGGACGTTTGGTGGTCATCTAGCGCCTATAACTAAGACCATGGGTGTATCAGCTCGACAGGAGAAGCCATCTTCAGAAGCAAAAACTACAAAGTCGGGGCCTCAAAAGGAAACGGGTCAGAAGAAATTCTGGAAAAAACTAACACCAGCTGAAATGGCGGATTGAAGAGCGAAAGGGCTTTGTTCCAATTGCGATGACTTATACACACCTGGCCATGTTTGTATTCATGTCCTCTTCTATATTATGCCAGTTACAGAGGGAGATAACCAAGAAGATGAGTGGATTGAGGATGAGGAATTAGAAATATCGTTGAATGCCATGAATGGAGAACAGTCTGAAAGAACCTTCCAAGTACAAGCTGACATTTCCACATGGACAGGTTGGGTATTGCTTGATACAGAGAGTACTCACAATTTTATTAAAAGCAGCTTGGTAAAGAAACTAGGAATCCCGGTACACAAGAAACCGGGAAGGTCTGTGGCTCTCGCTAATGGAGGAAGATGTGCGATAGATGGGTTTTGCCAAGGAATTACAGTGACGGTCCAAGGCCATCAATTTAAAGCAGATTGTTTTGCAATTCCCTTAACCGGTTTTGATGTCGTTCTCGGGATCCGATGGCTAAATGCGTTAGGAAGAGTGGTATGGGATGGTTCAAATAAGACCGTCGAGTTTCACCATGGTTCAAAAGAGGTGATATGGCACGGAGAAGCAGAAACTCGAGACACTAAACAAGTATCACTTCACGCCCTTGACTACAGTTCGAAAACATTGGAAAGCTGGTTCTCGAACGAAGAAGAAGTGTTTACAACACCCGGAGTTGATCACTTACTCTATTCACACGAATCTAAGCCGAGCATTCTTACTCTCAGTCCGGTTACCACCTTCGGGTTACTTGATAGAGTGATCAACGAGTTTGAGGAGGTGTTTGCGAAACCAGTTGGTCTTCCACCAAAGAGAGAATG